GTGCAGAGGGGAGGGGAGGGAGGACCCCTCCCCCACCAATCAATCAATCAATCAATCAACCAATCAATCAATCAATCAGTCAATCAATCAATCAATAAAAAAAAACAATCAATCAATGATTTTTTTTTCTATTTTTTAAATTATTTTAGGTAGTCACAAAAAACACCGTGCGCCGCCCGTGCGCGCGCGTCGATTTCCCGCGCACGCCCCCATTGGGCCGTGGCGCGGCCGCGCGACCGACCTCCTCGGCCGCGGCCAAGTCGGAGGCGGCCGTGGCCTAGGGGGGGACACATAGCGAGTGGGACGTACAAGAAGTTATCGCCAAGATCGGCGAACGCTATTATTTTCCACCCGGGATGAGGGGTTTGGGGTTCGTGGATACCCACTTTCCCCCGTACTCTTTATTATTGCCTTTTAATAAACCGATTGTCATCCCGTGGACGGCAGTAGCGCCCCACTGGCCCAAAACTCTGTGCAACGATTGTCGTCGCACTGTTACCGGGAGAAGGGGCTCCACTACTGGACACATGGCGAGGACGGACACAGGGAAAGAGCGACCACGGTGAGACCATCCACGTCAGATTCTGAACTCTGTAGTGAATGGCGTCGGGACTTAATTTGAAAACGAGATCCCTTGTGGTTACCCTCGCCTTTCCGTTCGAAAAGACGCCGAGTAGCTCGCATTGAAGTTTAAAGATACTTTTTGGATTGAGTGAACATTTGAAAGTTGTGCGCGCCATTTCTTTTCTGCCGGACCGTGGTCCTTCCTCACTAAGACTGGAATCGCATGGGGGCTTTCAGTTCCGTTTGTGGCCCCACACCCAATATCCCTCAAAATCCTTGGCACACCCCATTTTTTTGTCCTTCAGGGCTTATTTCGCACAAATTTCCACTCCAACCGAAGGACAAAACACGGCGTGAGGTTGGTATCGGAACCGACATGTGTTGTTTCTCGTATTAGTGAGGCGAGCTGGCGGGAGAACGAGCACACGCTCGAACGAATAGGAAAAATTCTCCCATCACCCAAAACAGGTTGGTAGAGACAAGAAAGGAAACAGCTATGGCTAACGCTAATGTGCCTGCTCCTCGTGTAATGGTAAGCATCCCAACCACTTTTCCATTCTATGCTAACCACAGTCACCAAAGGCATGGCTCGAAGCAGTGGAAGAGCAGGGCTATGACGCGGCTGATCTACCCTGAGTTATCACTTTGCTCGTCCGAAATACTGCACACGATTGGTTTAAACACAACCAATGGGTAGATTGGGTACGTTCAAGAAGGCGTTTTTGGCAGATTTGACGAAGTAAGTGAGGACGCTTCATGGTTTGTGCTGAAAACGCACCCTCAAGAACCAAGGGAGCTCTTGCCAGACTTCATGGACAGATTTCAAACAAGATAAGTCTGGGCGGGAAGAGAATGTTGCTCGAGACTGGTTCATAGATCATCTTCGCAACCCGGTCTTAAAAGCGAAACTGAAAAAGAAAGCCCCTCCCAAAATGACTCAACTATTGGCGATCATTGCCAAAGCTCTCGAGCTTGACTCGCAGACACACAAAAATATATAGAGCAGGGTGAAAGAGGATATAGCAGATACGATAGAAGATGTGGCTGCAAAACGAAGATCGTGGCTCCGATTGATTGGGCGATTTTACCAACGCCATGATCCTGAAAGCCCCAGCGGACCAGCACTGAGTCATGTCTCTCATGCTCCCTCCGCCATCGTCTCTTCCCCCTCGTCTCCTCCTCCCTCCAAGACGATCCCCGTTGCCGCCGTCGTACCGCAATCAGAAGCGGCAACACCCATCACCAATCTTCATCTGGCCCACATGATCCATACGGCTACCTCCCGACAAGCGAAATAGATGAACCATTTGATCCAGAGCGAGACGTCACAGATGGACCGATTGGAGTAGGCTCTGCGAGATCTAATGAATACGCACGCCAATGTCGCCAAGGTATCACGCTCCACTCCTCTCCTCCTTACTACCCTTTACTACCTGCCCCCCCTCTTCAAACCTCAGTTGCTCCCCCTGTAGCTCACTCGAGTGTTGTACAACAGGGAAGAATAGAATGCTACAATTGTAAGCAGCCCGAACACTTTGCCCAAGACTGCCCCCTGCCCAAGAGGAATCAACCTCCACCTGCGGCTGCACCGGTGGCTGCCAATCAAGGATGAGTAGTTGTCCTACTCGCAGGAACAGGAGAAGCAGAAAATGGTTCCCCTTCCCCACTTCCTCCCCCACAACCGGATATGATTGTGTCGACTTTTGGGGCTTTATTTGAAGTTGCAGATGTCGTCGATCCAACTGAGTACCTCCAGTTTGCAGGACTAATTGGAGCTATTCGACCCCAAAAAAAAGAGCTTGAATGGGTGGAACACGATTCGGAACCTGGTCCTCAGTTCCGGAGAAGAGAAATCGATGTTCTGCAAACGTTAAAAAGATTAGATATCCAAGTCCCCGTCAACCACCAGCTAACCATATATGAGACCACAAATGACAAGCTTCTCCAGCAATGCCAAAAGAATCAGAAGAGATTTACCTATCAGCATGTTCAAGAGATGTTAAAGAACAAGAAGGAAATGGCGGAACCTGTACATCGCCCGCCTGATCCCATAACTGTCGTCGAAAATTCGGGAGAGTCCGAGGCCACATGAGTGGCGACGATCTCATACGCAGAGAAAGATCACTTTATCTGTGTCCGACCGATTCTATGGAAAACTGCAGAATGTGATAGCGAAGTATGGGGGAAGCCATTCGATGCGTTAGTAGATACTGGATCATCCGCCATAGCGCTTTCGCTCGACACAGTTCGAAAGACCGGACGGGTAAACTCCATCCTCTTCCTGTCGCGAAAAGACAACTATGTCTCGACAGATGAAGAGACCATGCACATCGTCTGGAGGATCAAAAATGTTGCCATTAAGATTGGGCGATGGCACGTTTTAGTAAATGCATTGGTAATTGACGTACAATCATATTTGGTGCTACTTGGATTACCTTGGGGTATAGCAGGAGGTGCACGACTACGTTTCGATTCCAAACAACACATTCTCACTAATTGAAAACAAATTGAAAACAAATTGAAAACAAATTGAAAAACAACTTTAAAAGTGTGTTTTCATGCAAAATTCACTCTTTTCAGCTTTTCAAGATTTTCAGGATTTTTCAAGGATAGCCAAAATAGTCAACTCCAAGACCCCAACAAACACCAAACTTGGCACACATAGACCTCGACCAAAAATAAAACAGGGCAAAAGAAAAAAAACAAAAAAAACTAAAAAAAATAATCTGCAATGCACTTTTCAGGGTTGAGGAGGTTAACTGGGGCTGAAAAGTGGGGGGTCCCTGTTAACCGCTTATGGATGCAGAGGACGAACACGATGAGAGTAATTACGAGGGATTGAGGGGACATCTGCCTACAGAAAAAGAATGGAACGAGTTGGTTCGACTCTTTGAACATGAAACCAAAGAAGAATTTAGGATGATTCCACAAATTGCGCCTTCTTTCTGATTGGAGCCTCCACCTCACTTTGTCCCCTCGCCTCTGTCGACCTCTCTCACTCTCACAGAGACTCATATCCCTGCGGCTTCATTCCTCGGAGAACCAATCCCGCAAATCGCAGTTATGACTGACCTCTTGGAACCCCCTCGGTTAACTGGGGCTGAAAAGTGGGGGTCCCAGTTAACCGCTTATGGATGCAGAGGAGGAACACGATGAGAGTAATGAGGCGGGATTGATGGGACATCTGCCTATGGAAGAAGAATGGAACGAATTGGTTCGACTGTTTGAACATGAAACCAAAGAAGAATTTAGGATGATTCCACAAACTGCGCTTTCTTTTCGAATGCAGAGGAGGAACACGATGAGAGTAATTACGCGGGATTGATGAGACATCTGCCTATGGAAGAAGAATGGAACAAATTGGTTCGACTGTTTGAACATGAAACCAAAGAAGAATTTAGGATGATTCCACAAACTGCGCTTTCTTTTCGATTGGAGCCTCCACCGAACTTTTTCCCCTCGCCTCTGTCGACCTCTCTCACTCTCACAGAGACTCTTATCCCGGCGGCTTCATTCCTTGGAGAACTAATCCCGCAAATCGCAACTATGACTGACCTCTTGGAACCCCCTCGCACTTTGTACGAGGGAACGCCGTCCCTCCAAAAAAGATACCAACAAATGATCCAGTATCTAGACCGCTCTGTCTCTTTGCCTAGACCGTTACTTACGAAAGATACAATGGTAGGATTAGTTAAAGAGAACGCAAAGGCACCGATTGATGACGTTCCTGACCTAACGGAAGAGATGATGGAACGGACGGGATTGAAAATTGGGCCGAGCGCCACTGATCCATAAATTGATAAAGAAGGGAAAGAAACTGAGATGATCAGTCCTGCGAAATTGCAAATGCTCGCTACTGTGTTCTCAGCTCGAACCAGCAGTTTAAAGTTTTCCAGTGTAAAAGGAATGCGTCCACCTAACCCGGATTGGCTTGAGATCCAACTAGAAATCTTAAGTACTCATCCGACGATCGAAGTCCCATCTCATATCAATTTGGGCATAAACTTACGGTAGTATGACGCGAGACCAAGAAAAGAATTCAATTCTCAGACATTTGTTGGTTGAGGCCATTTGTGAATGACCTCGACTTTGGTTGCCTCGGGCTCTAGGTCTGCAGCGGACAACCGATGTCCAAGGTAGATGACGTTGTCTCTCCCAAACTCAGATTTCTCTAAGTTGAGATGGAGTTGCGTATCCTTGAGGATCTGCAACACTTCCTCAAGGTGACTCATGTTCTCCTCCGTCACCTTGCTGAAGATTCGTATGTCATCCAAATAAACAACAAACAACAAATCGATTGAGCTGACTGCGGAACATCTTGTCCATGAGCCTTTGGAAGGTCGTCGGTGCATTCGTGAGACCAAAGGGCATGACGGTAAATTCGTACAGCCCATCGCGAGTTTTGAACGCAGTTTTATGTTGGTCTGCAGGGTCGACTTCAATCTGGTGGTAACCAAACTTGAGGTCGATCTTGTTGAAGACCTTGCATCCACCTGCAACATCAAGCAGATCATCAATGCGTGGCAAAAGGTATGCATTCTTTCTTGTTATTTTGTTCAGTCCGCGGTAATCAATACACATCTGTAATTTGCCTCCTTTCTTAGGGACACCGAATTCGGATTCGCTCGACTTGATCCATCCTTTTTCAAGTATGTTATCGATATCTCTTCGCAACTCCTCCAATTCGCCTGAGCCTATTCGGTCGACAACCTTTTGGAGGAGTGCAGCCTTCTATCAACTCGATCTTGTGTAGGACTGGATGCACAAGAACTCCACGTGGTTCGGCTAAAACTTCAGGGAATCGGTTGAGAAAACTGCGGATTTCTGATGGAATCTCCAAAGGTGGACAATCAGGATCTGGTGCAAGCATATCGGACTGCATAGGTGCAATAAAAACAACAACATTTGGAGTATAATCGTTTGGACTAGAAGTAGATTTAGGAGAGGTAGAAGTAGCATTAGACGTAGAAACAACATGCAAAGTAGAACCATTATCTACAACAAAAATAAAAGGCATGTGAGCAGGCCTAACAAAGGCTATATACATTTGCTCATCATCTTTGTACCTGTGCCACTTCTTGCAGAATTTCATTGCGTTGAGAAAAGTCACTTGGCAGTCGCACGGTTCATCCAAGAAGACTGGATGCTCGATCCCCATGGTATCTTTGACCATGAATTGTGAGTCCTTCCACTTGGTTATTTCGCATTGGGCCTGCAAACAGCCTAAGCCAATAACCGTGTCGAAGAGGCACTTATCAAGGACATAGAAGTTTAGCTCATGTGTGATTGTGCGGTCTGCATCAAAGGTAGTGCGCACGCCTTTGACTGCATACGTAGATGTGACAACCTCTCGGTTGCCCACTTGGGTCCGACAAGGATTTTGCAAAGCCGCTTGCTTCATTTCCAAGCGTGCCTTACGAATGTCGTGCGGTGAGAAGTAGTTGGCGGTTGCACCACAATCAGCCAACGCACGGATGTATCGACCATTAATGCGGAGCTTGAAGAAGATCAACTTCGTTTTCCCCTGCGCGCTCTTACTTCATCTGAGCCCAACGCAGCAAGAGATCATGAAAGTCAAATCTCTTCCAACTCCACCCAAGGCTCTTTGTAGAGGATATGCAATTTCTCGGCGTTGGAATCAGCATCAGATGGGGTCTCAAGAGAGGATTGTTGAGTGGGATCAGAGTCCGTAGGACCTGCACTTACTTGTTCAGCCTCTCCTTCTGTACAGTGTGTTGATAATATTTCTACCCCCTTTGCTGGTTTCCTTGCTGCAATCTGAAACAGTGTTGGACTAATTATCCCGGTTTGGTGCAATGCAGGCAAACCCCTTTGTGACCCGTCCAAACATGGATTGAAACACACGGCTGATTTCTGAGTTTTGCCCGTAGACTGAATGACTTGCTGAGTTTCCCGCCTGCTACTAAGTCTGTGTGTGCACGCTTGCTGGACTGCATGTCTGTCTGAGTGCTGGTTGGCTTGAGTGTGTGTGTGGCCGTGCCTGTCTGAGTGCTGGTTGGCTTGAATGTGTGTGGCCGTGCCTGTCTGAGTGCTGGTTGGCTTGAGTGTGTGTGTGGCCCGCAAGGGCACTTGCTCGTTCATTGGGCCCTCAGGGCCGGTACTTACCCGTGGCTGTGACATTGAGGGATTGCAGCGGGAAAAACACTCAAGTAGCGGGTAGGCCGGGAACGCACCTTGAAGAGGTAGATGTGCGGGTACTGGAGGCCGAGCAGAAGAAGACAAAAGTGGCATTTTTAGAGGCCCAGTAGTTGTAGGTTAGGTCTAGGCGGGTACCAGTCCAATCAGTCTGGGTCTAGGGCCTGTACGGGCAATATCAGAGTCTGCAATGATGTTTCCCTCTGAAAGGGAGGAGGTACCGGTTGCTTGGAAGGCTGAGCGGCCTGGAAGTCACCGCCCGAAGAGGCAAGCAGGCCGCTATATCTCCCAGCCGGGCGAAGAGCGCGGCCTCATTCTCGGTGTGCAAGTTTGGCGACACACTGATTGGAGCGCCGGCTGGAGCAGCGCTATCCGGAGCAGCGCCGCTGGGGGAAGGAGAAGGACAAGGAGGAGGAAGAAGGACAGGAAGGGGGACGAACGACAGAGGTACTTACCTGGCTATGGTGGCATCCATCTTCGTCACCTTGGTGGGCGCTGCAGCAGGAAGGCCCTAGCTGGGGTTGAGCTACACCAAGAAGCTTCGAGGCAGGGTCAAACATGGCGGTCTGAGCTTGAGCAGCCATTGCTGCTTTGGGTTGTCCTTTGGGCATCTAGGCAAGGCCTAGTAGTCCGCCATAGCCTCGGCCTATGAGAGTGAAGAGAGGAAGAGGTGGCCATGGCTATGGTGGACCTCAAGTGATGTCG